CACATGGATCATTGTTGAGGAATCAATTGTGCATACTTAACATGTGAATTTAATTTCCACTTAAGATGGAAACAATGCCATTCATTCTAGATACCACTGATGTTACCAGACCGTCTGTTGACAGCACTCCAGATACCACGAGACAGAAGACCACTACAGGAGTTGAGGAAACTAAAATTGTCGCCGACAATTCCAGCACAATTCCACCAAGCGATACACCGAGTTCAACTGATGACATAGTTGATACGACTTACGAAATCCAAAACAACTCTTTCTCCACCAAAACTTCCACAACTCGGACTCCACTGCACACAGGAAATCCGAACGTCTGACCAGAGCAAAATGAAATTGAATTGACATTTGAGCCTTCTTTCTTATAAACAATTAAATCACTTATTGCACTTATTGCACTTCATGCCATCAAATAAATTTTTTCTCTTTCAAGTCATCTAACTTCCAGTTCTCAAATTGGGATGGAAAGTTTGTGAGGAAATGACAATTCTTATTGTACCGCGCAATCTTACTCTGAATGGCATGTTTCCAAAGTAGATGTGGAAATGTTTAGACAGAGATATGAGTAGATAGAGAGAGAGAGAGAGAGAGAGAGAGGTATGAATGTTATATAGCATTAAGTAATAGACGAGTGTTTGATAGTGCGGGCAATGGATGGTATCTCATTGGTGTGAATGGGCATTTTAAGATCTGAAGTGTAGTTTGTTAAGTTCAGTTGGAATTTAATTCCCATCAAATCTAATTTGCGGTAGCACATTTTTATCCACTTGTCACTCTCATTTGATTTGATTATGACATTCAGACATTGGATTGTTCGATCCTCCATTACGTTGGAACTGCATTTTATTTGACAAACCATCAGAGGGTATTCGTTATTGATCGTTGTAATGAGTGAATATTGTAGTGGAGATCAGAAAACGTCAACATTTTCGTTGAACAAAGCTAGATCATTCTACTTAGGACATATTTCTTTTATTAATGAATTACATTCATAATAAATAAAAGAGGTAATCATAGCTCTTTTCGAGTATAAATTCTGAAAGGAATTGCTATTTGTCAACCCAAAATTTTAGTACAGATTTTAACACCTTCTTCGTACAAAATTATGCCTTTAACTTTCTGTCCGTTAGGGAACAAATTATCCTAATACCCCCAGTCACCACTCGCACTTAATAATAATAGTAATAATCATAATAATAATCGATTAATGTGTATTTTCTAAGTGTGATTCAAATTGAGAAAGTTTCGATGCGTGGAATTATTTTTTGCGTTAGGTGACAGTCAATGCTGGCCTATTAAAATGATGCAGGTAATTTCTCATGCCAATTCTTTGACGAGGTCAAATACCCCAACGATCGATTGGCAGTTTTGAGTTGGTGGGCTGTCATTTCATCACTGTCACGGAAATAGTTCAATCGACAG